AGAAAAGAAATTAAATGCACTTCCTTTTATGCGCGCTACTCATATTTTTACCTAACCTCCCACGTACCACGCACCACCAACCCAGCACCCTTCGCACCCACCCACACACACACACACACACAAACAATGCGCTAATAATGAAAGTGCACTTTTGACACAAAAGGTGGCTGTGGCGACAATGCACAAGTCCAACCCGCACCACCGCCTCACCGCCTCACCGCACCACTGCACTCCACCCAACTCATGACTGGTTTATTGCTCATTCGCCGCAATGGCGATTAGTACAAAGGAAGGGCGGAGTTGAGTGGAGTGGAATGGAATGGCGGGGAGTCAAAGTAGTGTTGCTAGTGCTTTTTTGACCCGAAATGAGATTATGAGTTTTTTTTTTGTGGCTCCTGCTAACTTTCATTGTTTGCTTAGCTAGTGCTGCTGCTGCTGCTGCTGCTGCTGCCAGGCGCAAGGTGGCGCCACACAAGGCCAATGGCAATCAGCGCGCGCTGAGATTATATTTCCAGTTTCACGTTTCTCTGCTTGACTGCAGTTTTCCCGCTTTTCTTTTGCCCATTGTTGCTTCCGCTACTTTATGACGTCATTATACCGAGTACTGATTGAATTGGCCATGAATGCAACCAAAGCCAAAGGTGAAAGGACAATGCCAGCCAAAAGGAGTCAACTCAACTGTGGGCAAGAGAAAGCATTAGAGGAGAGTTTGACAGAGAGAGAGAGAGAGAGATAGAGACAGAGTATATTCAAATAGAAGCTGTGTGTAAGTCTGTGTGTGGCATAGACAGGCTATTGATAGCTATATATGTTTGTATGTATATATATAAATATATGTATAAATATAGCTAGATATTTACAATTTCAGTTTCAATCTATATATACCTTTATGCTATTCATATTTGATATTTGTCTCAGAAACTACTCCAAGTTGTGACAAAAACTCCTGTGTAAACCTTACAGAGAAGCTTCCCCCCTCTCTGTCTCTCTCTCTCTCTCTCTCTGTCCCTTTGGTTTCCTCTCCCTATCTCTTTTTCTCTCTTTCTGCTCCCACAATGTTCATCGTTTGACTTGGCGTATGAGTAATTTGGTTTACTTTGTATATGGCAAAGGCCAAATAAAAAGGTTGCCAGAGCCACGCCCTGATGCTGGCCTAAACTGAATGTTACTGAAAGATGCGAGGAGTAGGAGAAGGATGTCGGAGGGATGTATGAATGGGGGGTGTGGGTGGGGTCGTAGGCGCAGGGTCGGCTCGCGTCTTTGGCTGCAGTAAAAATAAATCAAATAAATAATAAAATGAAACGAAACGAAATCAAATGCGAAATAAAAAATCAGTTGGCACTCACCACTTGAATGAATTTGGAATACAAAACCAATACACACACACACACACTCTAACACACACCCCCACACACATATACACACACACACACACACACTCATGCAGTTTGCCTTTCGGTTTGATTTCAAATAAAAATGTGCTTCATTGAATCGAATTGAAGCAGCAGAAATGAACGAGGCTGAACCACAACCAACACACCCACACATCCGCACACACACACACACACACACACACACAGACGATGCTGCTAGCTTGGACTGGAAGCAACTGCCTCGGCATTTTGGTCAATTGCAATTAGAAACCACCGAAGATGATACTGCTCCTGCAGTTCGGTCCTGCAGCCTGACCACCAGCTGCACCAGCCCATCACAGTGCAACTTGGTGAAAGGACACTCAGAAAAAAAGGGCTCTACTTAATTGAATTACTAAGTGGTATAAGGAACAACAGTTCTTAAACTAAGAATATTTACTCTTTACAAACTGTATTTACAAGCTTCTAATTTTCAATTAGTTTTGGGTTTGTTTCAAGTTTATATTAGAATTGTTTAAGGCACTTGAGCTCTGAAAGTGTGTATTAAATAGCTTTCTTTAGTTAAGAAACACTTAAATAGGTCTGCAGTTTTAAAATGATTTCTACAAAAAATACTATAAATTCGAATCTTGTACGCTGATCTAGAATTCTCGAATCTTTTATTATTATCCAAGTGCATAGATACACACTAAATCACAAACACACACACACGCACACACACACTGGGCATAACTGACCCAAATATTGTACATTATGTGTTTATGTTCAGGAAAGTCAAGTGCTGTGTGGGTGGTTTGGGTGGCTTGGTTTCGTTGCTTGCCTGAGAAATTGCAACACTTGAGAACTTGAAAATGTTTTGCCAACTTGGTTCGCCCTGGCAAAAGTTCGAAGAGCCAACTGGCAATGGCAACAAAACTGCCAACTGTTCACTGCAGCACAGGGGCAGCTTCAACTTATCCCTGGTCCGCCACCAACCCCTACTTGACTGCAGGCACTCGATCTCCCATTCCAGTAATAATTAGTGTAAACAATTGCGCCATTTAAAAAAAAAAAAAAAAGCCAGAAAAGTTTTCTTGGCCGCCACACTGCAGCATTTTATTTCAAGGTTTCTTTCCACTTAGTTGTCACCGCCACCCAGAAAACCACCCAGCAACCACCCTGCCAACAGCCCCACCTTCAATTAATGTTGACATTTCTGCCCCGCTCGCTTCCAGCATGCGGCATATATTTTTTTTTTATATTTTCCAAACAAATTGGCAAACTACAAACCGGATATCGGTTTTGGGCAGGCTACGCAGGCTCGCCCAGGGTTGCCATTTGGCCAGTGTTGCCATAGCTTCTCAATTGCTGGGTAACTGCTCATTAAATTTAATATCAAGTTATATTTTTACCTATTCCCTTTGGTGTGTGTATCGATGATGGTGCTCTTCTATTTTTGTATTCGGATTCCCCAAAGATTCACCTCCAGCATATTCGATGTCGAATGTTTTATGTGATTAGTTGCCATAATATGTAACTCAATTGTGCTGAATATGAAATACATATCCACTCTTACAATATATATATATACGTATACATTATATATATTATATATAGTATACATAACTCAAAAATATGCTCAATATGTTAAACATCAAATATATGTATAGTTTTCTAAAAACAAGCCTCTCAATGGCCTACTTCCTGGTACTGATATGTATATATACTTATGTAAATCGATATTGATTACATATGTACATATCTAACGGATATATATCGATGATATATTTATCGACTATATATACATATCTCTAACAAGGTTTTCAATATCTGAATTTCCATTGAGTTTAATTTGTAGTTGAGGTTAAACATAATATAAGATTCACTAATTTTTACCTTACAGCTGTGGAAAATATCACATTTTCAGATGGGTAACCCCAATACAATTCTTTTGTTTGGTTTGGTTTGGTTTGGTTCGATTATTAAAGTTCAGTTCTATAATATATAGTATACATATCTAAATATGCGATAAGTTATCCGTTTAGTTGTTCGATTTGTTCGCAACATTCAACATTTTATAAACGTTATCGATTATCGATGGATTTGCTCACAAATATGAATATTAAGCAAACAATCAAAAACGAAACTCAATTTGTTTACATAACCGTACAAATGTTAGCTTTCAGTATTGCATATATTTTTGTAATCTTCTCATAGTTGTACTATTTTGCATGACTTTTTATACATTTCCAGCATTCTTATAATAGTCGATTGCTGAGCGCTGCGACAAATATTATCGGTTGCTATCGATTTTTATCGTTTGGTCTTAATCATGCTCCTGCAACCTTGCCGTTATCGATGAGCAGTTTATTATCGATAATTGACTGACTGATGACTTATATTTGACGAGATAACTTATGCTTCATTGGTGCTGTCGAACATTTGATTTCGACAGCAATATTTATCGATATGACAAAGTAATCGTTATCGCTTAGCTCAGCAATCGACAAAATATGCACTGTTTTTTTTATTGATACATAAATGTTTTTTTATCTGTAGTTCCCGTTTGGCTGCAGCTCCAATTCAACCACACCTCGTTGTTAGCCAATTAAAAGCTATTCAAATATTCTCGCATTGAAAGTATTCAGTTGCCTCTCAGGCAATTCCATTCCATTCCAGTCTATTCCAATCCATTCCATTCCAATCGAATCCACTTCAATCCACTCCAATCCAATCCAATCCAATCCAATCCCTTTCGAATAGCTGCCTGCCAAACGAGTTTTGCACCTGTAAAAATCAAATATGACAAAAAATTCAAGCATTTATATTTCCTCTATTTATTTTTGTAGTTAACACACACACACTCACTCACTCACTCACTCACTCACGCACACACACACATACAGACAGGCAAACATAGATTGAGTCTATGTGCTTTTATTTGCCAAGCTGTTTTCAATAATTGAATTATCCAAGCAAAAATACATATTGAAACTGTGTGTGTGTGTGTCATTGTGTAGTTGAGTGTGTGTTGTGTACACAACAATTTAAATACTTCAAATCACACAGGATACACTCACACACACACACACACACACACACTCGCACACACATACACAGAGAGACCAATAAGCTCATTTCTCACATCCATCATCCATCTCGCTCACTCGTTTATAAATACATATGCATATGACAATATTTATGAATATTTTCTCAATTGATTTCGTTTTCACTTTAAGTGGAGTTTAGCAAAGAAAAGTAAAAACCAAATAGAAACAATTGTAATTTTATTATGTTATCTTATCTTAAATATTTGTTACAAATTTCAAATACTCGATACTTATATAACTATATCATTCTATATATGTATATATATATATATACAATATACTTACATAGTTACAACTCGATGTTTCTTTTTTACACTATTTTCGTTTTATGATTTCACGAAACAAGCTGAAAGCGATACAAGAAACAAATCAACAGAAAAAAAATCCAGAAAAAAAGAAAAGCAAAACAAAAATCACGAAACTTGAATTTAAAGCACGCAACTAACAAAATGATTTTCTCTTTTACAAAAATCCCCCACAAAACCAACTTGCAACTTGAAACCACCACTCATCGATTCAACACACTCCGGAAAAACAGTCGCGTTTCGGTTATGCGAGGTCAGGTGATAACGCCCCAAGGCCTGGGAATTGTCGGAATACGCGTCTCCGTCGATCGCGACTCACGATTTGGATTCACCCTGACACGTCAGGGCGGCTGGTAAGTGCGAACAGCATTATTATATATCTCATTTGACAATGAATATTCAATATTTGGCTGAAGACAAGTTGTTCGAATGCTCTAGTCGAGAAAGCTCGACTACGTCTTGGCTTGCGGTATAAGTTTCTTATACAACCCAGATGACATTTGTATAGTTGATTTATAATATGTATGTGTTGTGTTATGTATTAAGTATTAAGTCATAATTGTGTATTTTAGTGTTATGGGAAATCGATATTTATCAATATTCCCGAAACGAATGCAGGTAGCGATAAAGTAAATTGAATGCTTATGGCCTACGAGAACTTATATTTCAAATTTAAAGTCTTAAAGCTTTTCTAGACAAACAGACGGATATGGCCAGATTGACTTGATTGCTAATGCTGATCAAGAATATATATGTATTCCTTGGGATCGGAGATGCCAGTTCCATATTCAAGTACAACTTCATTGTAACCTTTTCTGCCAATAGCTATAGCTTTTGGGCTAATGCATAGATCTGCTATAGTAAGCCAACAGCCAATGAAATATGTACCTAAATACTTTTAGTAAAACTACACACATATATATTTATATAGACGTATATATATATATATATTTATATGGATTTAATATGGCAAGTGGGCTTTTGGGCTTGGGTCCTCATTAATTTGAGCTTAAGTTGGCGCCGTGACGACCTCTTTAATCTTTTGTGGCCCTCGCTCGAAATGCAGATTACTTACGTATGAGTAATTTTTCATAATTTGTCAGCCAAGTTGCCTGCTAGCGTTTTGTGTCTTGGCATCTTGGCCAACTTTCGTCTTTGGCCTCTCTCTTGATTACATTTTGTTAATATAATTTCGTTGGGCACCGGCCAAGTGTGCTGCCCGATAAAGCAAGTTATCACTTTTTAATTAAATCTTTCACTTTGATGTGCCCCCAGCACATACACATGCATATACATACAAATACCTATATATATATATATATATATATATAGACAGAGTTTTCATCTCGCTCTGCTCTCTCTCTCTCTCTCTCTGCTTTCGCGAGCTTAAACTAAAGTTATTTAAACGCGCCTTATCGTCAAGTTTTTTGGCAGGGGGAGGAAGGCGCGAAAGCGGAACCCAAAAACAAACAAAAAAGTCTTTATTAACAGGCTGACCAAAACACATTTTCCAAAAACTCAACAAAGTCGCCAGACAAAAAAACAGCAAAACTAAAACAAATGCAATTTGTGGTGATTAATGGGCCGTAAACGCCCGAAAAAGTGATATTTAGTCAGTGCCTGCCTTTATTCAAACTAAGTAGGCAGCTCACGTAATCTTGCTGGCAATTAAAATGACAACGGTATGCTTTTATTATTATATATATATATATATATATATATATAATGTTTCCAATACCCTGTAATAAAGTTAGAAGTCGTCGTTTATCTTCTTAAAATATACCTTTAAAAATATTTCCACTTATTGTTGAAGCTATAGGCTATATCTATATGTATATATATATATAGCAAAGTATCACATGGTTTATATTATACATTTCTAAAGCCTAGGCTAATGCTGCGTACTATCCACGAAGTCAGGCAAAAAGATATGTGTATTTTGTGAGGAAATTTGAACGTCACTAGTATTTGGCATTTGCTTGAATGAGATTTAAATCACAAACAGAAAAGGCAAAATGAAAATACAAAATGGAAATAGAAAATAGAAAATAGTAAATGGAAAATAGAAAATGGTAATGCTGATGAAGCGCAGGATGAGGAGGAGTCGATGGCGGTTGCACAATTCGAGGATTCGTTGGCCAATCCAATATATCTAATATAAATATTTTTGCAGTTGTTTTTGGCAAAAAGGATTTCCGCTCTTCCCACACCAACAACAACAGTTATAACAGCAGCATCTGTAATTGTTGTTGTTGTTGTTATTCTGACATTTTCTTTTGCCTAGCATGTGTGTGTGTGTGTGTGTTTGTGTGTATCTTTGCTGGCCAATTTAAATAAACATTTCGCACCCGCTTTGCCTGCAGTTCTTCAGTTCCATTGCTGATTTTATTATGTGTCCAGCAACAGCAGCAGCAGCAAAATCATCCAGCATTAAACAGATTGTTATCGAGTATACACGACTAACAGATGCTCCGTACATGTATCATATCTAAACACAGAAACATTGCAATTCCCTTAAGCAAACTCTCCACTTCTTCAAGTCTTCGAGTTATTATAAAAAAAAAAACTGATTTAAAATTTGTGAATAGTTTTTAATAATATCCCATTTTCTATTCTCCGCTCTTCTTCTGTTCATGAAAGCCTCGACGTTAAATAATCAAGTCTTTAGTTGATCTTAGTCTTAGTCTAAGTCTTCTTTAGTATGTCAATCGCAACTCTGTTGAATACAGGGTATCGCAGCAAGTGCCGCACAAATAAAATCTGTGCAACTCACAGGCAGACAGACAGACAGACAGACAAACTTACTGTCTGATGATTGTTTGTATTTACTTACCCACACACACATAAAAACACAGAGCGAGACACCCTTTGCTTTGGTTCATTTCAAAAAGTGTTGCACACTTACATACACATACACATACACATACACACATAAGTGTGTGTGTGTGTGTGTGTTCAGTGCTGGCTGCCTGTTGTTTATGTGTGTGATTATATTTTTACCTACTGTGCCATAATTTCTCATTAGCCCAGTTGCCGTTAAATGCCGCTAACGTTGACCATTTTTCACATTTGCCTGACTTCCTTGTGCTTCTCTTTCTTCTCGCTCTGCTGGCTGTTGCCAGCACTGCTTGGCAATCAGCAGTGGCAGCAACAACAACAACTACAACTACTAAGCAATTATAAAGCAAGCGTCCAACTGTGAACCCAAGAAAACACAATGTAAACGAAAAAAAAAAAAAAACAAAAAAAATAATCACAAACATGTCCTGATTTTTCTAGTCGTCCTGTGTGTTCTCTCTCTCTTTCTCTCTCTCTCTCTCTCTCTCTCTCTCTCTCTGTCTATTTCTCTCTTTGTCTGTCTGTCGTTCGTTGTCAGCTTCTTAGAGCTCTGATTTGGTGGAGGACATAAATTGCTCAGTTTTTATTTATTTTTATTATGACTACTTTTGTTGTTTTTTATCTCCAAGTGTGTGTGTGTGTGTCTTCTTCTTCTCTTCTTTTGAAGTATTTTAAAGTTTCTTGTTTTTCTTATTTTTTTTTGTTGTTTTTTTTTTTGCTTTCAGCTTTTTTGCTTGCATTTTTGTTGCTACATTCTTACTTTTAGCTGGCAATAATTCCTGTTTATGTTCACATTATTTTTAGCTCTATAGTCCTGTGTGCTTACATATATGATGGCACAGAGCACACAGCACACAGCCATGTATGAGTTGGTGTGTGTGCGGCGCACAGTGCTCTATAAAATTAAATGTGCTGCCTTCAAGGCTGAAAGAATGCACACACACATACACACACACACTTGAAGTGCAATGAAAATATTGCACCCTTGCATGCAATAAACTAAATACTTCCCATTTGGATGCCCATTGAGTCCAGGAGTTAGTTACTCCATTGAAATCATTGTCGAAAAGTTTGAATATTATACAGGGTGCACACAACAGCAAACAGGGTGCATCCAGTTTTTAAAGTGAGAAGCAAAACAAGCTGAGAGTTGTTTAAGAAAACTAAATAAAAGCTGCTGAAAATAAGTTGCAGATTAATGCAGCAATCGAGCATCAACAGTGAGAAGCAAAGTGAGAAGTAAAACTGAAAAGTAAAGTGAGAAGCAAAAGAAGAAAACTGTAGAACCAAGAAAGAAACTTATTTTTTCTTTGTTTTTTTCTTTATTGTAAATTTACATACATTGCTTTCAGTTGTTTTGTAGCTTGTTTTTGTGTCATTTCGCAATTTGTCACACAGCATATTTATGTGACCTATGCGAAAAGTTTTCTCACTCACTGTGCCTGCCCAACTTGCTGCCTTTTGCTTGCTCACACACACACACACACACACACACACACACACACACACACACACACACACACACACACACACACACACACACACACACACACACACACACACACACACATTTACATAACTACACTCATATACACATGTGTCCTCCTACTTACAAATGTAACACATACTTTTCGGCGCCACTGTTGCTTGTTGATATTAATGTGTTGTTGTTGCTGTTGTTGTTGTTGCTGGTGTTGCTGTTGTTGTTGCTGTTGTCGTTGTTACTCTTAATGTTCGCGCGAGCTGGTTTTTATGGCTTTGTATTTATAATGTTTATTTCAATTCTGTGCTCTTATTTAGCTTTACTACACCCCACAAACAACAGCAACAACAGCAACAACAGCAACATGCTGTGCTCATTTTGTTGCTGTTACAAGTAGCCTCTTATACGCGATACCCTGTAAAGCTGTATAAAGTATAACTATTGGGACCAGCGTAGCTTCAAAAATCTGTCTCTGCCTATTTCAAATATTTTTCAAATAATATGCAAAGCAAAAATTGTTGAACACAACACAATTTTGAGTTGATATCGAGTTATTTTTGATTTGAGAGTCGTTCGATTGTTGCGTAAATTTCTAGCTTTGCTTCTTCTATCTAATTTCTCACATTGATCGCATAAAATAATGTAATTTCACTTGCCACTCGCTTTGATTTGAACATCTGCAACTACAGGGTATCTTGCTAGTCGTGTCGCTGCGCTGTACTCTAGATTTCTCACATATTGTTGCTGCGATTCTTAGAGCTTGCTTTTTTCTGACATTTTGTTTTTTTTTTTTGGTTTTTTTTACAAACATATTTTTATTTTGTAGCTTTGCGTCATTTGCTGTCCTGTTGCTTGTGGCCATTGTTGCTGTTGTCCTCTGACATGCATTGTTGTTGATTATTGTTGTTATTCCGATTGTTGCAGTTGTTGCTTTCCGAGCAGCAATAATAAAGGTAATAAAAGTCATTATATTGTGCTGCAGGGGATTATTGTTGGCATTTTTTGCAACATATTATTAGAGTTGTAGATTGTTCTGTGTATATGTGTGGGTGTGCCACATGTGTGTGTACATGTGTGTGTGTGTGTGTGTGCGTATGTGTTGGTTATTACTGAAATGACCGTCTAGTAATTGCGCCGCCCAACCTCCTCTGCCTGTCTTCTCTGCCTATGCCTCTCATATCCAATTCAATTACATATAAATATACGACTATAGACGAGTGTGTGTGTGTGTAGTGTGTGTGTTGTGTGTGTGGCGTGCATAAATGCGATAAAAATGCAATAGCAACAACAACAACAACAATAAAAAGTTTCCATAAGAATTGCAACTGCTTTTTAAGCTCATCAATAATTAAAATAAATTGTCCATAATTGTTACAAATATTTATAAATGTTCTCTTGTTATTGTTATTTATTAAAATGTGGACTTCATTTAACTGGCTTATGTGCTAAACTAAAGCGAAATTATTTATGATTATTACAAACCTATCCCATTATACACCTATCCAAGAAAAAAAACATATGTTTTCAGTTGAGACACGCTGAAAATCGATAAGGTGGCAATTTCGCCAATTTTATGAAAACGATGCCCGATTTGTGGCATGCCAATTGTGTGCTTATTATTCCTCTGACTCTTTCACACACACATCTATATATCTCTATCTCTCTGTCTGGCTGTCTCTCTCTCTCTCTCTCTGTCATGTTTTATGCTCTCATACAAACACAATTAAAAATCACATTAATTAAATATTTCCAAAGCAAAAGTTTTACCATTTCTTAAGCTTTCTGCGCGACTGGCAACCGCTTTTTAGATGATTGTTGTTGTTGTTGCTGTTGTTGGGCTTTGTTTTCCAACACGGTTGCTATGTTGCCTCTGCTTCTTCCTCTTCCATTTGGCAGCTGGTCCAACTTTTTGCAACTTTTCATACGGCAATGCGAAAAATACTCGTAATAATGAGAAAGCGGCCCAAACGCAATCGCCATCATTATATTTAATGCGGCTAACACAAGTGTCGATAGAGAAGGGAAGCCGGCAGGGGGAAAGTTGAGAGGAGGGGTTGTGGTTATGGTTGGGTTTTGGGAAGTGGATGAAGGGCGGATGGGGGAGGGTGTTAGCTGCAGCTGACTGGAGGAGGTCTTAACTTATGCTCTGGCAATTGTTGTTCACTGTTCGCACAAAAATCCTAAAGTTTTTCAATTTCAACAAACAATTGAGGTATTATCTGCTCAGCATACGCTAGAATTGCCAGGGGATACAGCCGCTGGAGGGGCTTAGGGTGTTGTAGCTGGTCTGCTCGTGCGTCAAACGCAGCAAGCGAAATAAAAAAAAGAAGAGCTGTTGGCTTGGGTCAACTTTGACTTTTAGTGAGAATTCATTAAAATATTAATTTGCATGATTTTCTTTTTGTTTTTTTTTTTTGTTTTAAAGATGTTTTGTACAACAAATCGTCACTTTCTTTCTCAAACTCATATACTCACTCTCTCTGTCTGTTGCAGGTTCGATGTGCTGGTTAATGGCGGCGGTGCTGTTACCCTGCAGTTCCAACGCTCACCGTTCCGTCCACTTACCCGCACCGTGTTTGTGCCCTGGAATCGAATTGTGGTCCTGCCTCCGGTTCAGATGCAACTAAGCGACGATGATGAAACCACCAGTCGCAATATCAAGTAAGTTCGATGGCTATAACTGCATCACAAACAAGTGATTCGAAATGAGCAGGAAAATAAACATAATTCAAGTTATTTTTAGTCTAAAAATCTTTTGTAAATCATGAACTTAACTTAATTCTGAATTTTGTGCTATTTTTCTGTTAGGGTGGCACCATTGAATCCCGCACTGACGTTCCTCAATTCGATACACTATCACACGGCCGATGAGGCGAACGATGCCAGTAAGGTGTGCATGGATCACGATCACGAGAAGCTCAAGCCCCAGTTGATAAGCACCTGGATGCCCAACGGGGTTGGGGCGATGCCCGGCAAGCGTGTCATCTTTGCCGAAACACAGGTGAGTGTTCAGAACGCCCCCTCCCCTTCCCCACCCCACACCCGCTCCTTCTGCCTCTCAGTTGCCACGTTTCACCTAGCTCTCTTGCTAGCTCAACCGTTCTCCTTTCGAATGCCACTCCTAATTAGCGGCAAGCAGCAGCAGCAGCAGCAGCAGCTGGACTCTGCGTAGTTTTAATTAATTTAAAGTTCGCCTTAATGACATTATAACTTTGCATCCACCCACGGAGCACAAGCACACATTAATTCTCCACAGAAAGCGAGAAAGAGAGAGAGAGAGAGAGAGAGACAGAGCGACAGAGCAACAGAGAGAGAGGGAGAGAAAAACACAGAGAGAAAGAGAGGTAACGAGTGAGAGCATTACATTTAATTGCAAGTCCGGCCAGCTGTGTCCACTACAGACTCTGGACCCTTTAAACTGAACTCCACAGTGGCAAACCGCAGAGGGCTCAACAACCAATTTACTTTAGTTGAAGCGACAATTGCAATGCTCTCAATCCTCCTTTGTCCCTGCTGCTCTCAGCCTGCTTCACTCTCTAGTTACTTTTACCTAGTTAGTTATCCTTGGTTCCGTAGTCATGTCACTTTTTAGTCTATCTAGTCCCACTTTTAGTCTCTTTGTGCAGCTAATTTTGCAACTCTTGTGCAATTTGACGCATTATTCAACACTGTTTCTCTTATCTCTTTCCCTTTCCCTTTCCATCTATATTTCTTTTTGGTTGCATCCGATTTTTATGCTGATTGTTTTTAAGGTTTTGTTTTATTTTGTTTTTCTTTTCTCCCAGACAAAGTTTCACAGCCTTTTCTAACTTCCCGTCGCATTATTCAATACTGTTTATATTATCGATTTCCGTTTTCATCTGTACTTCAGTCCCTTTGCTTAAATTAGACTTTTATGTCGATTGTTTTTAATAGTTTTTGTTCTCCCCCATTCAAAGTCTCATAACTACTTACCTGATTTCTACTCTTTTTTCTGTTGTTTTTTTTTCCTTCTTTTTTTTTTGCTTTGTCGATTAACTTATTTTTCATCTACCATCTTGTCAAGCCTAGGCTCCCTTTCCCTTTCCCTTTCTCTCTCTTTCTCTCTGTCTCTCTCTCAGCTCAACTCTTTTACATTTCAATGCACTCAAATATTGACTCTTCTTATGCCTTTCGTTCCAAATACAGATTGTTCAGGAATCGATTCAAATACCCGGCTCGGATCTGCATCTCACCTATCAATCGTCGCAGGCCTCGGGCTATTTGAGCATTGTGCGTATGCGTTTGACCTCCGAGGTGCTGCCGAAGACCTTAACCCATGTTCATGTGGGTGTTGAGATCGAGGGCGCACTGCACGTGAAGACCTATGAGGCCGATCCGAATTTGATACACACATTCGCGTGGAACAAGCGCAATGTGTACAGACAGAAGGTGTATGGGGTGACCATCGCACGCATCTCGGTGGGTTACCAGCACACCACGTGCCAGTCACCCGTGTGGATAACGCAGACAGCAAAGCTGCAGGGCTACGATGTGGATATCTCGGACATTGGCGGCTGGGGCTTGGACATTCATCACCATTATAATTTCCACGAGGGCATTCTGCAGAAGGGCGACGGCTCCACATTGCACATGAAGGAATATCCACGCACCGTCAAAGTGGTGATGGGTACGGGTCTGCAGCGACCGCTTAATTGTCCGGATAACTGCAATGGCGTTGCCAAGGATGCTAAACTCTTAACGCCGATTGCATTGGCAACGGGACCAGACGGTAGCCTCTATGTGGGCGACTTTAATCTGGTGCGTCGCATCACACCCGATGGCAAGGTGTTCACCATTCTGCAACTGAGCGCCACACAGGTCTCCTATCAATATTATTTGGCCGTATCGCCAGCGGATGGACATTTGTATATCTCGGATCCGGAACGGCATCAAATACTGCGCCTCTTGCGTCTGGAGAAGGTCAAGGATCCGAGCATCAATAGCGAACCCGTCGTCGGCAGTGGCCAGCGTTGCATACCCGGCGATGAAGGCAACTGTGGCGATAGCGGGCCAGCTTTGCAGGCACGTCTCTCACATCCGAAGGGTCTGGCCATCGCTGCGGACAGAACTATGTATATTGCGGATGGCACCAATATACGAGCCGTGGATCCCAAGGGTGTCATCCACACGCTGATCGGCCATCATGGCCATCATAATCACTGGAGTCCGGCGCCCTGCTCGGGCACCCTGATGGCCAATCAGGCCCAGCTGCAGTGGCCCACCGGTCTCGCATTGAGTCCCCTTGACGGATCACTGCACTTCATCGATGATCGACTTGTCCTACGCTTGACCTCCGACATGAAGATACGCGTCGTCGCCGGAACACCGCTGCACTGCAGCAACAACGGCCAGGCGAGTCGTGTGAACAAGACTGCCACCGATAATGTGCTCGGCACCGTTTTGGCCATGGCATTCTCACCATTTGGTGATCTCTACATTGCCGACAGCGATTCGAGGCGCATCAATTCGATTCGTGTTGTCGACACCGCTGGCAACATGCGTTACTTTGCTGGCAAACAGGAGGGCATCGGGTAAGTGAATAATACTCTCCAACTCCTCTCCTCCCCCCTCTACGACTGCCCTTATACACTCAGCGCCAAATATATGTGTAACTTGCAACTCGCATTTTTGAAATGCGTTTCGATTTTCTCAAGCTAAAAATACTATTTTTTTCTACTTAAAAAGACAAACAATTTTAGATTTTCTGTTTAAAGTATGAAAGAGATTCCTAAATACTTCGAAGTTGATAAAAGTATAAATGAATAGTAGTCAAAGAATGTTTAAGGTATGCATTCCAGAAATCATATAAATTAATAGTAATCCAGCAATGTTTAAAGTATTTATTTCGGAAGAGTATAAGAAAAACATATTTATTTTTTAGTATTATTTTCGTTGATTTATGCTTGATGACTTTTTATAATTTATATTTATGTTTTTATTTCTTATTTATTTAGTTGTTTTTTTTTTTTGTGCCTTCCTTCGGGATTCATCTTCAGGGAATTCGCCAGTCAACTGTGTAGTTTGAATCGTGTTTATATACTCGTATTTGAAGAATTATTGTGGTCAAAATAGAAATATTGGCCAATTAACAGAATTTGTCGCAGTGGAGCACATTCAGCTTATGCTTGGGTCCACTTGGACTGTTTACGATGGGTTTCTGTTGCTGTTCAGTTTCTGGTTCGAGTTTTGTCAACTTGTTTATGCGCATATTTGACCCAATTAAGCGACGCTTCGAACGCTTTTTGGCTATTTGCATTTTGGACAAAACGATATCTCTGGGGAGGTGCAGTGGGTGGGTGGTGGGGTTGAGACTGCTTTGCTATTGGCATAAATAATAAAAACAAAATTTTAGCTGCAGTTGCATACAATTTTCTGCAAATACAACCAAAATTCAGGCAATAAATGTCAATGCAGCCAGTTGTCTGCTCCAGTGTGTGTGTGCAGAGTGTGTGCAGAGTGAGTGTATGTGTGTGTATGTATTGAATTTGATGCCAATCGATATATGTATAGCATAATTTACTCTATTTCACTTGATTAAAACGCTTTTAAGGCATCAAAAACAGTGACCGAAAAATTAATTGGAATTTTGACATTTGGGATTCTAAAGTGTGTGTGCGTGTGTGTGTGTGTGTGTGTGTGTGTGTGTGTGTGTGTGTGTGCAAGTGTACATAGTGCATGTGTGTTAGTGTGTCACACGGGCCGACCCTGAGTATATTTGCATTTTCCATGACACAGTGTTGGCAAGCGCATTAAAATGGAAAACCACATTGAATGCAAAGTTCGATGAAGCAGCACAGCACAGCACAGCACAGCCTGAAATAATGATACAAAGTGTTTAATGGGAAACACGCACAAGATCGAGACTATATATATATATATATACATACATTAAAGACAACGTCTGCTGTAACTCGTGGCAATCTTCGTAACAAATATATATGTATATATAATAGCTTTATAATGAACGATATAAGTCGAGTAGAAGACGCAGCAAATGAATCGCAACGGGGATGTTTGCTTTTTGCAGCCACTGTCATCCTCCCTTTTCTACTTTCCCCTCTCTCTCAGTGCACTCTGTGATACCAAAAATATAACAATTTAAAACGATTAATTTGTTTCGCTGATTAGTTTGAGGCTGTCCAAGAGAGAGACAGAGAGAAAGAGAGAGAGAGAGAGCGGTGCCATGTGGCAGGTTGATGTGGATAAATGTGGCATATTTCACACGCACACATACACACACACTAATATACATGCACATACTGTGCAACTATTTGCAACTTTATGTAGTTAGCAGTTTATTTAATGTAATAGAATTCCATTCAGGCGCTTAGTTTTTGATAGACAACAGACCCCGGTCAGGGGCGTGCTTGTAAAGGGGATCGGGGCTTGGGAATGTGGCAGCTGCTGCTGCTGCTGTCCTGTGCTATGTGCTGTGCTGTGTCTTTCCAAAATGTGGGGCGTGGCTGGCTGGCAGGACTCGCGACGTGGCAAAGTAATTAGCAGACACCGCCAACGACAGCAAACTATAAATCAACCTTTTTATTTAATACTAGCTAGAACGTTGCATGTGCTGGGTTGGACAGCGGGGGCAGTTGCTTCAAATGGGCGTGGTCACTGTGCGATAAGCAAAAGGGGTGGGGGGCTTTGGGTGGATTTTTGCCGTTGTCTGCATTTTACTTTAAAATGTTTATCGAACAAACAATGTCATCATAAATACGCGTCCAAGCAGCCACAGACATAGAGTCGAGTTACAAGCCAACCACCCAGCACCACCCACCCTTCCAACACCCAACACCATTCTCCTTATCTCTTTGTGTGTCCCAGTCTGTGTTCCGGTTCAGCAGTTTACTCGGCCCTGGGCATTGGGGGCGTGGCAGCGACATGTAAACGATGCCTGCGCCACAGATAACGTCGCTTGGCTTCAATGCTTGACTGCTGCTCCACCAGAGTGGATGGAGTGGAGTGGAGTAAAGTAGAGTGGAGTGGAGCGAAGCTGATGGTTTTAGTGGTGCACCGGCAAAAATAAAGACATGTGAATTTATCCTTTCTAAATCTAAAATCAGAACTTGTTTTGTTTTTTTATTTTTGTTTAATTTAAATACATCGTTTTGGAGTTTATAAATATCAGAAATTAATAAATAAAATGCATTTTTTTTAGGGTGACCCAAAGGTATTTTAAGTAAGTTCCAGAAATTATTAAATAGAAAGTGTTCCGGTTTTTGGATTCGTTTAGGTTTGAAAATTTAATTATACTCTAATTTTGATGCCGATTCGTATTTTGAATTTGAATCGGTAATATTAAAAATATATTTTATATTTTAGCAAAACTTAAAAGTGTTTGTATTTGCTCTTTTGTAGAACTACATTTCTTCAAGAAATTGATTGAGTTCTTGAGCACAGATGTTGTTGCTGAGTGTGGCTCTAAGCGGTCTTAGATTATCTTGTTGCATTACTAACGTATACTCCCCACCTCTCTCTCTCTCTCTTTCTCTCTCTCTCTCTCTCTCTGTCTCTCTTTCTTTGTAATACAGCACGCAGAGCTGCGAGTGTGCAATTGGAAATGGTGGCAACGGCACTAGTTTGGGCGGTGCGGGCAGTGGTGGCGCTTACTCAACGACCGTGAATCCGACACGCAATAATGGCGGCACCACGCCAACGACACCAGCTGGCGGAAACGGAAATAATGGCAGCTCTGCAGCGGGCAACAGCAACAACAACAGCAACGGCAGTGGGGGTGGTGGTGTGCTCAGCGCTAGTGGTGCCTGCATTTGTGCCGGCGGCAGCTCCTCCAACGGCATCTCCGGCAGCAACTCGGGCACACTTGCCGGCATTGTCGCCGGCGGCAGCTTAATGTCCACCGGACCCACAACCACAACAACTGTGCTGCTGGGCGCCAAGACAACAGCCAACGGCGCCGGTTCAATTCTCAACTCGGGAGCGACTCTCAACGACGACGGCACCCTGAGCAATGCCGAAACTCTGCTCTCCTCAAACGCCCGCTTCCAGGCCATCTCGGCAATAGCCGTTGCTCAGGATGGTGTCATCAATGTGGCCGATCAAGGTGAGTAATCCCAGTAGAGCACTAAGATAGACAACAAGTGAGAAGCAAGAAGAGAAGAAAAGGGAAGCGATGTGAGAAGAAATGTAATAAGTGAGAAGCAAGATGAGAAACCAAGAAAAATGGGAAGTGAGAAATGAGAAGTGAGAAATGAGAAGTGAAGTGAGAAGCTAAGCGAGAAGTTAAAATCAAAGTCAAAAGCAGAGTTGAAAACAAAGTAAGAGAGAGAAGTGAGAAAGAAGTAAGAAAAAGAGTAGGCAGCTAAGCAAGCAGAGAGAGAGAGAGAGAGAGAGAGAATCAAGAAGCAAGAAGCGAGAAGAGAAGGAATATACACTTCTCTATATTTGATCCAATTTGTTGCAGCTGCAGCTGTCTCGTGTGGCATTCATTTCGAATTGGAAATAGATAGCTTCATGAATGAGTGAATGTTGTGTGTTATTCCGTTTGCGAAGTTAATTTAGAAATTGAGAGCTGCATAGAGAGATAATCTATATATCGGCATATATATGACCCATTGAGTAATCGATCCTAATTAGCGCAAATCCAAATCCATTTGAATAACATGTCAGCAACGAAGTGAATATATTCGTTATTCAAATGCATATTCATGTCACATGCCACATTTACATTTAGGCAAATTCAATTCAGTTACCGATTGTTCGTTGAACAATTCAATCGCGCCATCTCTCTCTCTCTCTCTCTCTCTCTCTCTCTGGCACGCTCTCTCTTTCGTCTTCAGTCTCTCTCTCTCTCAGTGATGGAAGCAGGTTTCAATGGAAAGTGGGCGGTAAACTAATGGGTGAAATGGGGAAATTGAAAATTGTCAGTTTTGGGACCAACAACTGCAAATAATATAAACACACACACACAGAAACACACACACACTGAAATACACTGGGGCACTTGGAAATTGCTAAATTTCCGTTTGGCAAATTTGGATTGTATTCGTTTTATTTTGTATTTTTCTGTTCATGCCCTATGGGTAAAATGGGTACAATAAAGGTGTTCCAAACCGGAAGAACCCTCGACCCCATTAAAGTGCACATGTATGTGTGTATTCATTCCTGTTCAGCCGAGATATAGCCTTCCAAGTTAGAAGGGATATATCTCCCGGCATTGTGTTGATTAAATTTGCAACTTTCATAGAGATCAGCAGTACTTACTTTCCCACAACATATGTGAGGATGTATTTATTGTAGGCATACACCATTACTTGGGAGCAGAGTATCTCTCAGTCGAGCTCTCTCGACTGCAACAAGCTTCTTTTCGATTTTTCTATTGTATTTGATTTTAATTTTCTTTGCTGCGTTAACAATACGAAATGCCAAAGAAAAAGTAACAGAGTCACAAATAGCAGGAAGAAGAGAAACAAAGGGAGAGAGAGAGAGGGAGAGAGAGAAAGGGAGAGTGAGTGTGTGAGGGAGACAGGTGGCAATTGTCAAATGTGGCACATTGAATATTTGCGGAACACAAAACGCAACAGCAGCAACAATACCAATAATAAGAGTAGTAATAATAATAATAATAATAATAATAATAATAATAATAATGACAACAGAAACGGCAAATTGAAACACAGCTGTTGTTGTTACTGTTATTGTTGGTTGTGCCGTTGTTTGTTGCCACTTTAATTGGTCATTATCATGGCCAGGCAAAGCAAAGGAAAGCAGAAGGAAAAGTCAAGCTTTAAACCGAAACCAATTTCCGTCACAATTCGAATGAGAACAAATTAGGGCGCGATACGCACAAACCAATACATGCACATACGCATACACACACACACACACAGCAGGTGGCAGGTGGAAAAAGAAGAAGCGGAAACCTGAAACAAAATGGCCGCCAATAAATAAGATAAAGCCAAAGAGCCGAAAAGCAAAAGCTCAAAAAACAACAGCAAGCCAACAGTGGTGGGGCAGCAAGAGGGGAGGGGGAAGGGGATGGCTGCGTTGTTGGTAGGTCAAGTAAGCAAGCTTGGTTGGGGGGGTGAGGTTTTTCTATTGGCAAGGTATAAATTTGAGTGCATTAGGCAAACGTAATTTGATAAGACCAAAAATGTAATTAATAAATTTCGACAATGGGCTAGGGGTAGGTGAAAGGGGGACGGGTATTGGGGTAGGAGCAGGGGCAGGGGCAGGGCAGGGGCAGGCAGTAGCAGTAGACGAAGCGAGGTGAAGCAAAGCGACGCTAACGATGTGCAGCAGCCGCATTGAGTAATGGAAGGGGTGGTTTTTGAGGGAAGGGGGTGGGTTGCTTGACAACGCAACACAAATTAATGAAGGGCAGGGCACAGAATAAAAGTAAAGAAGCAGCAGCAGCAGCAGCAGCAGCAGAAGCAGATGAAGAAGAAGCCGTGGAAAGCAGATCAATGACTATAATTAATCAAGTTTTAGTCGTCGTTGTTGCCACTGCTGCGGGTTGCCCACATCTGAGTGATTGCCTGCAGGGGTGGCCAAGAGCGTGGGGTGTGGAGCAGGGAAGTTGATGGTGGCACAGTGTATGTGTCGTCTACACTCGCACAAAATGTGATATGCTCTGCGCTGCCTTCGATTTGCTACAAATGTTCAAAATACAAATTTCCTTATAAAAAGCAGAAATATTATTTATGAATTTAAGTGCAATATTTCCAAGCGAAAGCTGAGAGCTTTTGCATTGCGAACTTTCCACAAATAACTTTGTGAAAATATAAAGATATCTGTATATATTTTTGTGAAAGGTATACAAAAAGGAATGAAAGAATTTTTCGTGAATTGAGAAAATGTTTTTCAAATCCAGAAACAAAAGTTCGGGCTGAGGGCTGAGTGTAGATGTGCTGGTTGGGTTGGATTGGATTGGATTGGATTGGGTGTTGGGGACGACCGGCCAGAAGCGAAAAAGTGAAAATCAATCTTATTACCTACGCGGCTAATTCGCGCAACTAATGCGAGAGGCTATCGAGGTACCCCAAAAACACCATCCACACCTCCCCCTGCCATCCAGCAGCCATTTTTAGCGCTGAGCGCAATGAGCATGCATTAATCAACTGTGTGTGTGTGTGTGTGTGAGTGTGTGTGTGTGAGTGTGGGTGTAGACAAGATATTTAGCCATGTGAAGCAGGTTTTTAGGGGGTTCTTGTTGTTACAGCAAGTAAAACGTAAATAAGCTTCATTAAAAGCTTATAGCTTAAGTGGCGCAACGAGTGAGAATGAGAGAGAGAGATAGAGATAGAGAAAGAGAAAGACGGAGAGGGAGAGGGAGACAAAGAGCGTAAGCGTGAGTGAGAATTGGAGCAAATGACAAAGCAAAAGCTAATCAATAAGCGAGCTGCGAGGTGGGCTCAGCGGGGCTGGTGGGCAGCGAGAGGGTAAAAGAGTAATCAGAAAAGTTCCAACTAGTACCTAAAACTCATTAATCGCTCACACATACACACATACACACACACACACACACACACACGCATACACGTACACACACAGAGAGAAACACAGACACGCACATGAACATGAACATGCCAATACTTGATTTTGACTTAAGTAGAAAAACTTATTGAAATTGAGTTTTATAAACTATAAAAAGTTTAGATGGGCTATCGGCAATGCGTCTATACTCAACTATTTATTATCATCTTCACGCCGCCAAACCAAACCACACCCACTCCCACATTCCAGTGCCTTGCAGCAATTTGAGTCTTGAGTCTTGAGTCTTGAGTCTTGAGTCTTTTCGCATTCATTCGCAAATCGAAGATTAACACTTTCATAATACAAACTACCATCCAGCAAAGTATCTATCTATCTCTCTCTCTCTCTCTATCTATCTATCTTCAAGTTCGGCTTCCTTTTGTGGTGCGTTCGTAAAGGTTTCACAGCGCACTCAATCGGCACTGACTAAAAGAGTAACTAAATAACTGGAACATGCACTCACTCAAGACCCATCCACATGCATGCTAAACATGCGCCACAAAAACATAGAAAAAAGGGTGGAGATGGTGGTGGTGGTGTTGGTGGTGGTGTTGGGGGAAAGGGGCTGTGTAGCAAGAGAAAAAAAGAAAGAATTTAAATTCCATTTGAATGAATATTGGCAACACTTGTGTGCGCTTTGGCACATGCCACATATGCCTCAGCAACAAAATCTGCTTAGAAGCAGTGAAGCTGAAACGACGCAGCGACAAATCGACAAATCGATAGACCGATAGATCCACACTAAAACCGATACATAAACAAATAGAGCGTGTGAGAGAGACGAAGAAATATGGAGATGGAGAGAGGGAGAATGGGAGAATGGGAGTTGGCAACTAAATGGCAGGCAGCCCTTTTGGCACACAGCATCAAAGGGACACAAACAAGTTGTTCACTTTATGGGGTCATTACCATTACATTACATTACATTACATTACGTTACATACAAACACAGATGGAGTGGTAGTGCGGGGGTGTGGTACAGGGACAGGGGCACGAGCAGGGGCTAGGGGCGGCAGGTTACGCCCTCTGAACCTCAACCTCGCTAGAATTGAGCAGATTGCATTGCATTGAAATTCGCTCAATCGTTGATACCACAGCATATTTGGCGCTGTGCCAACGTGTCCTGTGTCCTGTGTCCTGTGTCCTATAAACCCTCTACTGCCCATAACCATGCCCTCCATTTAAGGCCACAACCAACAAACAGCAAGCGAACTTGTCCCAAAATGTGACCCCATAAATGGTTACTCAGACAGCTGCTGTGGCCGCTGCTGTTACTGCTGTTACTGCTGCTGCTTCTGCTGCTTCTTCTGGCTCCTTGGGTAAATGAACTGTAATGCAATCAAATCAACACCGACAACAACCACAACAACAACAACGACAACCGAGTGTATTCAATATTTGATTGTCTAATGCTAGACGACAATCATTTTGCATGTGAATGCGATTGAATGAGTGTTTTGAATTCATCGTTTCGCAAAGCAAAAACAAAAACAAAAACAAAAAAACCAAGCAAAATTTAAGTAGAACTTGCATTTCAACAGCCAACAACCAATTTCAACATTCCAATACACCCAGAAAGCTTATAGATAATTCTGTTTTTCATTTGTAACTTAAATTTAAATAATAAACTAAATTGTTATTTCATTTAATGAACACTGTTTTGGATATTTATGTGTAAAAAGTAGAAAGGTAAATCAAAATTCAAATAATTCAAGCGAATTGGCTTCTGAAAGCAGTTCGATTTAAGCATTTGGTTGCCTACAATGAGTGGCAAACAGTTTACCCCAACATGTTGCAGGCGGCAGCAGTAATGCAACCAAACAGAGACAACTACTTTATGCAGTAAGTGTCTATCCCCTGTCCCCTGTCCCTTCTCCCCTTTCCCAGTGTACCCCTGCACCCATGTACCCCTGTCCCCTTCTCCCAACCACCCCTCTCACTCTCTTCATGTCTGTCTGCCGTTGACTGTCTTCGTCTGTCAGTCTGTTGTCGTCAGTGTTTGTCATGCAAAGCTGGCAAAAGCAAGCAAATTTATGCAAATCCAAAGCGATTTACCAACACTAACTTAAAATGTAACGCAACACAGGCAACAACAAGTACAACAACAACAACAACAACAGAAACAACAGCAACAACAGCAACGCTGAACAACAGCCAGCAAATTGCACAAAAACTTAAGACAGAGCAAGAGAGAAATCTTCCTCTCTCTTCTCTCTTCTCTCTCTCTCTATATATATATATATGTATATATATATATATATCTAACTCTCTTTTGATTTTGTCTTTTTGGATGCAGTGATTTTAAAACTTGAAACGTTTTATGACCAGGCAAAGTATCAAAATGAGCAAAAGGAGGGGGATGGGAAGTTGCTAAGGGTGGTGCCGCAGGGAGGGGGGAGAGAGGCTAGTAAATGCACAGATAACTGCAAGAAGTAAATGCACTCAAAGAAAATTTAAATGTGTTTCACAACAGAATTTAATGTCACAAATAAATTACATATGAAGATCGAAGAAGAAGTATTTGGGATAGCTTGCATATTGAGTGATTATCTATCAAATAAATATATGGTATTGAACAAACATAAATGCAATTTGCTATATGTTATACTCGTATGGAATCCGCAAATGGGATTATTCTGGGCAAACATGTGATGAACTCTAAAGACATAAAAACCTTAAACCGGACAAAGAGTCTGGAATTCGTGCAGGAATTGGGATTGATGGAACAGCGGAAGGAACAGCTCAGAAATTGGCCCAAATATAGAAAATTATATCAATAATAATAATAATAATAATAGTAATAGTAATAACATTAACAATAATATGCATATTTTTCATTTGGCTTTTGTACATTTCAGGGTCACTGCATGTTCTGGCGCTGGAGCACTATTTGCCGTCGCATGATGAGAATGGCGAATTCCATATACCTTTTCCGCCGTCCAGTGAGATCTATGTGTTCAATCGTTATGGCCAGCATGTGGCCACCAAGGATCTGACATCGGGTAAAACACGTTACAGTTTCCTCTACTCGAAGAACACCAGTTTCGGCCGACTGTCAACGGTGACAGATGCGTCCGGCAATAAGATACAGTTCTTGCGCGATTATAGCAATGTGGTTAGCTCCATTGAGAATACACAGGATCACAAGTCGGAGATACAGATCAATGGCATCGGCATCATGACCAAACTGAGTGAGAAGGGACGCCAGGAGATCGAGCTCGATTACGATAGCAATACGGGTCTGTTGAACTCCCGTTCGTCGGGTGGCGAGACGTATATCTATCAGTATGACGAATTTGGACGTGTCACCGGCATGATATTGCCCAGTGGCGAGATTGTACGGATCACATCCCAACTGGCGGACAACAAGGGACTCACAGTATACGTGCACGCCTCGGTCGAGTCACTGTTCTCCCGGGAACGCTACACCGGCTCCGATGGCAATGCCAATGAGCTGCTCGTTTTGGGCGGCGTTCGCTCCACATTCCTGAAGCGGGGTCGAGCACACGCCGATGCCGAACTGAAGGCAAATAATACGCTGGTGATTCACGGTGCCAATGGGGTTGTTGTCGAGGCATCCGCTGTCGCCCGTCATCCCCTGCTGGAGGCCGCCCTACCCGTCGAGGCCGAGATGCTCGCGATGTGGTCGCATCAGAGCGTCACAATGGGCGACGGCCTAACCAATTCGATGTACTCGGTGTACAATCTGGTGGGCGATGTCCGGAATCCACAGCAGACGCTGAATCGCGAGATTTGGGTTAACCATTCGCGGGTGATTGGCGTGGAGTTCGATCAGTTCACCAATCGTGAGACCTTCTATGATGCACAGCGTACCCCAATCTTGATTGTTGCCTACGATCAGAGTGGCCTACCCAAATCGTATTATCCGGCAAATGGTTATCCCGTCAACATCACCTACGATCGCTTCAATCGCGTCGAAGGCTGGGCCTGGGGTCCCGCTGAGCTCAAGTACAGCTATGATCGCCATGGCCTGCTCTCGGAGATCACCTCCCAGCAGGATGGCATCATTTCGTTTGTGTACAACGACTGGAATCTCGTCTCCGAGATCGGTTTGGCCAGCCAGCGCAAGTTTGTGCTGCAGTACGATGATGCTGGTGGCCTGCGGCACGTGGTATTGCCATCGGGCACTCGACACAGCTTCAGCATGCAGACATCGATTGGGTTCATACGTTGCACCTACACGCCACCGGGTAGCACACGCGCCTATCTGCAGCACTACAGTCATGCTGGTGCTCTGCTGCAGACCATCCTGCCGGGAGATGGGGCTCGGATCGTTTATCGCTACAATGCCGCCGGTCAGCTGACGGAGGTGGTGCACGGCGATGGTCGCAGCGAGTTCCAGTATAATGATGCAACCGGTATGCCCAGCACCGTATCGCATGCGGAACGCGAACTGGAATACCGCTGGGACTTTGAGTATGCAGCCGGCTTGCTCACCGAAGAACGCATTGATTATGTGGCCAAGACCGGTCTGAGTAATGCCAAATTTAGCTACGAGTACGACAACCAGCTGCGTGTGATTGCCCTGCAGGGTCGCATCGGTGGCCAGAATCTGCCCAGCCAGGCGTACGCCTACGATAGACGCACCGGCCAGCCCAGTTTGATCGGTCAGTTCAAGTTCACGCGACCGGCCCTCAATCAGACCCAACTGCACGACGGTACCGCTGGCTTCACACGCACCGTCGACGGTCGGTTCCAGACTCAGCGCATGGCGCTTGCCATCCATCGGCTGGAGGTCTTTCGCATGGAGTTCTCGTACGGGGTCCACGGTCGAATCTCACAGACACGCACCTATACGCGCAACATGGCCGTCAATAGCTATACGAATGTAAAGAACTACACGTGGGACTGCGATGGTCAGCTGGTCGGTGTCGAGGCCCAGGAGCCGTGGGGCTTCCGTTACGATGACAATGGCAATCTGTTGTCGTTGACATATCGCGGCAACACCATTCCGATGGAGTACAATGCCCAGGATCGGATTGTCAAGTTCGGTGAGGGCCAGTACAAGTACGATGCTCGCGGTTTGGTTGCGCAGAATGCGCGAGAGGAGCGTTTCCACTACAATACCCAGGGTCTGTTGGTGCGCGCCTCAAAACGTGGTCGATTCGATGTGAAATACTACTATGATCATTTAAAGCGTCTAACGACACGCAAGGATAACTTTGGCAATGTGACACAGTTCTTCTACACAAACCAGCAGCGACCCTACGAGGTATCTCAGATCTACTCGCCACGCGACGGCAAACTGATGTCGTTGACATACGACGATGTCGGCCACTTGATCTATGCCCAGGTGTACAGGCACAAATATTATGTGGCCACAGACCAGAGTGGCACGCCCCTAATGCTGTTCAATCAGTATGGCGAGGGCATTAGGGAGATAATGCGCTCACCGTTTGGACATATCGTATACGATTCGAATCCATATCTGTATTTACCCATCGATTTCTGTGGCGGCATTTTGGATCAGGTGACAACGCTCGTCCATATGGGCGATGGGCGTGTCTATGATCCACTGATTGGCCAATGGATGTCACCCGATTGGCAACGGGTCGCTGAACGGATTATAACACCCACCCGCTTGCATTTGTATCGCTTCAATGGCAATGATCCGATCAATGTCGGACAGGAGCGTCATTATCCCGCCGATTTTGCTAGCTGGATGCGCACACTCGGCTACAATGTGGGCAATCTAATGCCCCAGCTGGCCAAGGATCTGTGGCAACCACCGGCACTCTGGGGTCGTCCACCCACAAATCCAATTGCATTGAATATGCGACGACCCTTCGATAATATACCCACAATGGCGGTGGAGAGTGGCTTCCTTGCCCATCTCAATGTGCGCAGGATGTCCGATTTTGAGCAGCTATCGGCTCCGCCGCGTTCAGCGCTCAAGTGTGATGTGATGGATCCATCGCCACGTTCGATTGGCTCCGATACGGAACCACCGTTTGGCAAGGGCATTGTCGTATCGCGGACCGCTGACGGTCAGGCAATTGTTTCCAGTGTGCCGGCAGCGAATGCCATCTATCGGGATGTCTATACAAGCGTATTTAATCGCTCCAAGCTGCTGCCCTTCACGTTTGTGGTGCACAATGCCCAGCAGGACTCGTTCTTCTTTGTCAAAGAGGATGCGTGGCGTGCCAGCGAGGATCGACAGCAGTTGAAGCGACTCCAGGGCCAGGTGAACACCACCTTCCATGAGATCACACGCGAGACCACACCAGGTGCGGGTGCTGCTGGTGCTGGAGGTGGTAGTGGTGGTGGTGGTGGCAGCAGTAGTGCTGCTGCCAATAGTGGTGCAGCTGGCTCCAATGGCAATGGCAATTATCTGGATGTGAAAATACATGGTGCGCATGCGATCATCAATCTGCGATACGGCACCACCGTTGCGAAGGAGCAACAGCGTCTGATGCACCACGCCAAGCTGACGGCGGTGCGCAAGGCCTGGCACCGGGAGAAGGAGGCGCTGCGCAGTGGATTGACCACCGTTCTGGAGTGGACGCAGCAGGAGAGCGATGAGATCCTCAAGCAGAGCTACGCCAACAACTATGAGGGTGAGTACATACACGATGTCGGCCTCTATCCGGAGCTGGCCGAGGATCCCTACAACATCAAGTTCGTGAAGAAGAAGGGCGCCACCGGCGGTGCGGCGGGTGTGTTGCCCAATGCCCAGCGAAGGCGACGGCGCAGTCTCAGCTGGTCATCGGATGAGCACGATGATACGGCGGAATCGGAACCGGGACCGGTCGCCTGTTAGCTTCTCGTCGTAGTAGTCGTAGTATCCAAAAATTAAACAAAACAAAACAAAACAAAACATGCAACAAAAGTCCCCACTAAATATAATTAAATATTTATAATTATCATAATTACGAGTATTATAGCCACAAAAATAGAAAAAGATGCAGACAGAGAAAGATGGAGAGAGAGAGAGAAAGAGAGAGAGAGCAGTATAGAGAAAGAGAGAGAGAGAGAGAGAGAGAGAGATGGAGATAGAGCAGAGGATTGGATAGAAGGAAAGGAAGGCGCAACTGTACTAAATACTAAATGAATAAGCCTACAACAAAAAAAAAACAAGAATAAGAACAAAATATGTTACTCAATTTATTTATAAGCTATAAACAATTTTTTTTTATTAATCGTTAGACATTAGAAATGCGACAAGCGAATGCATAAAAAATTAAAGATAAATCCGATAAAACATACAAAATAATATTATTAATAAATAATAGAGGTATACCATATATATATATATATGTATATGTGTGTTTGTGTGCGTACAGTGAGTATATAGATATGCTATATATATATATATATATCTGTATATATATACATTTATATACTAACACACATACGGTAGTTATACGTTAGATATATGTGGAGAAGCCCGCAAGCTAAAACTATGCGCGCAAAATAAATATACATATATATATATATATATATACATATGTAAATATATACATATATATATATATATATATATGAACATGCATATACATACACACAAACAATAAACGGTTAGATGGCTAGAGAAGAAAGCAGCATTAGATGATATAGATGGGCATATGCCCAATATGAGATAAAGGAAAATAATATAAAAAAATAAAAAAAGATTAACAAGATTTTTTTTTTTTTTTTGATTATTTAATCGTGGTACTCGAGCTTTTTGAGACTGGCATAGTTTTAAACAAAATCAAATAACTCACAAACACACACTCATATATACATAAATGTAGCTGAAGTTGAGGGCAGCCCCACAAAAAGTAATAATAATATATAGCATAGGGCGACCAGGCTGCTAAAATTCTCCGTGTCCCGTTATTAGTCACAAATCAGGCAACTGGAAAGAAAAACCAATACTATATGTATATATATATATATATATATATATATGTGTGTATATATGTATATGTATATATAGTATAAATCGAGATCCCATTATTAAATGTATATAAAATATAAAATGCAAGCATAGTCTTAGGCGTCGTCGCAGCTGCAGCTAATTTATGCCAAGTTTAGACCAAGCGCAGAGCATGGCAAAAAGAAAAGAGATAGAAAATAGTTAAGAGAGAGAGATAGAGCGAGGCAGCTACACATGCTCACATGCTATATAGCCAACATTAAATGTATACATGAAACACAAAACACAAAAATATCTATCCTTAACAAAACAAAAATAAAATATAAAAAGAAACCATATGCGCCATAAACTATAAATATAATTGTAATTCTAACTGTAAAACGACGCCGCCAATAAAACAGGCCAATCAAAATTGTTAAAAAAAAAAGAAAACAACAAGAAAACATTCAACCTAATTTATAAACTCCAAATTTAGCTATTACAACAATTAATTTCATTTTTTGTGCTTATAAATTAAGTTATGATTTTAATTAATTTATTTTAGGAAGGAGTATTAAATATTTAATTATAAATATATGATGATTATAAAGTTAGACATATGCTTACACATTTTTTTTTATCAAACCTTACACTTACTTTTAGCATACAACTACAAATATGAAATGATGTAAAATGTTTTTGTTATTATTTGTAAGTTTTGCGCGTAAATACCCAAAAAAATGAGCAAAAAGAAATGAGAAATATATAAATAAATAAAGCTTGAAATGAAAACAAACACAACAAGAATTAAAAGCAGTATTAACAAATTGAACAGCTCCAACAATAACAGCAAGAAAAACCACTCTGGAATAAGGGAAATACCAGGCAAAATTTCAGATCGTGATTAGATTCATTTCTAATCTAATGCAGCCAATTCATTATTTCCGTCCAACAACAAAAAAGCTCGAGCAAAACTTGAAAACAAAAAAAAAAAAACACGAAAACACTTTAATTTTGGTTGCATTTTCCTTTTTTGTTTTTTTTTCCCCAGTAACTTTTTTGTTGATGAATTGGTGCTTATCGAATTTATTGCAAGCAAAAACTACTTAGAAATAAACGATTGTAAAAATATATATGTGTATATTAAATACTTAGATATATTTTTTTTTTCGTCTCCTAGTGCTTAAGCGAAGCGGAAAAAAGTAGTAGATTTGGCCTAAAATTTAAAAAATATTGCTGAATTAGTTGCAAAAGCCAAGAAAGTGTAATGACATTTTTTTTTAAATTTTTGCAAAGTCATAAAGTGGCCAAACCAAAGTAGGAGGAAGCCGGAAGCAGAAAATAAAACTAAACAAAATCAAACAATTGGGCAATTGGCGTAATACTATTAATAACGGTAATGGTAACGGTAAAGATAGGCGATAGGCGATAGACGATAGGCGATAACACGTTTAGTTTTTAATAATAATAGAATTGGCAAACACCGCACCCGACCTAAGCAACTGCTAGCTAGATACAAATACATAGATATATATACATATATATATACATATATATATATATATATGTGTGCACGTATCGTATGTGTTGGGGTCGTGTGTGTGTGCTTCTCACACACACATACATGCATAGACATAGACATAGTCATAGATAACTCACATAGCGTTAATATCAAAAGCTTCAGCTAATTAGTCTTAGGTACAGTCCCCTCAAAGTGTCAGCGATTGAGTAAATGACAACAACAACAACAACAAAAGCAACATGGATAAGGGAAGAGAGGAGTTAATATTTGTGTAAATACTTCAGAAGGCTAAACTAAAATACTATGGCAAACTAGTGTTGTATAACGCATACAAGTATATATAGCATCATGCATTGATAACAATTTATTTTTTTTTTTTTAAATGTTTTTTCTGTGGCTTTTCTTGTCGCTCGCGCCTAAAAATACTTAAATGTAAATGTAAAGAAAAAGATAACTATACATATATATGTATGTGGATAAGTCAAAGTATAATATGCATACAATGTGCAATTGGTATTTAACTGGAATGTATTTGGTGTGTGTACTGTACTTTGAGTTTCGGTTCTTTCCGTTCTCTTTTGTTAATTGGCAAACCAAAAACAATTTGACAAACAAAATAAAGAGCAGGAGTCAGTTACCTATTAGAATTTGGCAAGCATAAAAAAACAAAAAACTAAAATGGCAAAAAGCTAAGAACATTATAAAAAATTGCTTCAAAAGCATCAAAATACTAAAAAAAAAAAACAAAACAAAAAACAAATATATGAAGCCAAAAAAAAGAACTAATGCAAAATTGCACACTCAATACAAAAACAAGAAAAGAAAAATAAACCCAAAAACTTAAAGCAAAGTATAAAATGGCTTAAAGAACGAATAAAAAATAAACAAAAAAAAAATATTTATATGTAAATAAAAATGGTATTTTAGTATATTAATGTTAGAGCGCCGTTAAATAAATAAGGCAAAAGTCAAGAAGAAATGGAAAAAAAAAAACAAAAATACTTAGCAAATAAAGAAACAGGGAAACAATTGAGATAAAAATTAACATTTAAACGTTTTGCACACAGAAATACAACAATCCAAAAAGGGACAAACAAAACACACATACACTGCCACAAACACTCATACACTGCCACAAACAGACACATCCAAACACATCTAAACACATACATACACTCACAGCACTACAACAACAACAACAAGAAGAAAAACAAAACAAAATTTAGCAACAACAAGAATTTATGAGATATAATAATGAAAAATAACTAAATACAAAATAAAGTAAAGACAGCAGCAGAAGCGACAGAAATATAAAAAAAAACAAACAGTTATTATTATTGAAAAATAAAAACAGAAAAGAATTATATTTATTAGACAAAAAAAAAAATATAAAAAAATACCACTTTCACACAAAAAAAAGAAGAAAACTTAAAGTTTGTAGTGTATATCAACTATGTATTTCACAAAAATAGTAAATACCATTAAAAGCAAAACCAAAAAAAAAAACAAAAACAAAAACAAAAAATACTGTAGGACAAATTCTACTAACGTAACGTAAAATATAAAACAAAATATACAATTTTTTTTTGTAAACCTAGTGAAAACTTCCCTGTACCCCAAGAACGCTGAAACGAGCTAAATAAATGTGTAGAACGCGATTGAAGAGGAAGACCGACTGCAACTGCAACTGCAAAGTAAAAGAGGACAAAATTCACAGCCAAATGTGGCACAGCAGACGATTTAAAACTAAGCATATATATAAATATATATATATATAAGTATATATATATATATTTATATATATATATATATACATACATACGTGTATATCGATAAACAAAAAAGGAACAATTATATATGGCATTATATTACAGCGAGCGGAAATAATAATACACACACATAATATGAATTATAATAATAATAATTATGATAATAATAACGATTATATATGTATATGTAATATTTAATAAATATTTTAAGCGTATTAAGTTGAATTATAAAATAAACCACACACTTCTGAGGATATCAAGGGTCTAAGAATAAATAAAAACTAATGAATTAATTAAAAATAAATAAGTAAATGAATATAAAGCTAAATGTCAAACAATGTCTTTTGCGTGTTATTTTCTGAAGCACTTCCACAGGAATCTTAACTATATATTCTATATAGTAGATCTACAGAAATGTAAGTATATCTTACCTCGGAGAAATAAGGTTAAGTATTTGCAAATAAATAGCAAAGATGCATAGGCAACAGAACAGATTCTAATATTGCTATCGGCTTAAATGACCTCAAGCTCATAACAGATGACTAACTATCGAGCTGCTATCAAGATTATTGTGTCATCTATGAATTGAAAGACAGGTATCATAGAAGGAATCAAGAGTTCTAAGTAATCATACCAAACAGCTATGTGTCCTTATACTGAAATCAATAGTTCTCCACAGATCTAACAGACAATAGAGAGATGCAGATGGACACGATTTCATTAAGTATCTTCATTTATTTACGAGTGTGAACAATAATATGTGAAAGTAAGATTCGAAAAATTATGATTACCAAATGAATGGTAAGTTATTTTGATGAAGAATGTATACTGAACAAGTTAGAAAAGAATAAATTGCTTAACTTTGTTTCTCTTAGTGTACACTCTATGTTTTAGGCAGCCAGTCTGTCCCTCTCTTTCTCTTTCTTTATCTACTTGTCTCTGTCTCTCTGTCATTGTTGTTGCTTTTATTGTTAAATATTCAAATTTATGCAAAGCATCTTCAGCTGCTGCGTTGTTGCTGTTTGCCAACTACAAACTATGTGTCAACAGAGGCGCCCCTCAAATGGGGGAG